CCATAGCTTCAGGGTAGGTTAAGTATCGATTAAAGATGCCGTAAAAAATATCGAAAAAGTTTTTTTTTTGACACTGTTGTTGTTTAGAGAGTGCCCCTACAAGTACTTTCGTCTAAACAACTTTGAGATTGAACTAATTTCGGACGGCTGAGATATAGGCATTTGAATCAAATGTCAGCCATTTTTTTCATATTTTTTTACAGAATCCTTTATCAATACTCAACCTACCCTGAAGCTATGGCACGCATTTAAATTATCACCCTGTATAGATAACAAGTACTATAATATACTACCTAGTTAGTGCTATAGTACTATACTACCTAGTTACATCGATAGAATTTTTACCTACTTACATTGTAATAGTACTTACTAAACAATAAGTGAGCACTTACAAACAAAATTGGAACAAAAGTTCAATGATATACCTTTGATAATATCGCAAAACAAGGTGAAAGTGATACAAAGGACGTTTAGTATCTACAAAACACGTGTATATGTTACAGGCAAAACCCTTAACCAGTCAATAACGTTATTGACGGGAAAAACCAGTCAATTACGATATTGCCTAAGGGCCTCAGTCAAAACCCTTATTGACTGGTTTTATCTATTAAAAGCAGTCAATAACGATATTGACTGACGGGCCCAGTCAAAACCCTTAATAAGTACTTCTGCCCCGTGAAGTCTATGACATCTAGGAGGTGAAGCCACGTATACGCTAATGTCAGCATTAGATAGTGAAGAGCCGTCTGCGACTTGGGCATGTCGTCAGGAATAACAACCGGCGATCGAGACAGTAGACTTCCATTCTGGCTGCGACCATCTAACGGTCCTGATGGTGATCTCAGACTAGCCAGGCAGTGGGGTCGGACGTACCTATTAAGGGTTTTGAAAAAAAATCTAACGGTCCTGATGGTTGCTATGCAGTAACCATTGCGTTGCGGTGAGTTTATGTGCGATGCGGCGGATAGCACTTCGTTGCGGTGAGTTTATGTGCAGTGCGGCGGAAATCAGTGCGGTGCGGAGAGTTTTGGTGTGCGATGCGGCGGGTAGCACTGAATTGCGGTGAGTTTATGTGCTATGCGGAGGAAAGCAGTGCGGTGCGGGAAGTTTTGGTGTGTGATGCGGCGGGTAGCACTGAATTGCGGTGAGTTTATGTGCAGTGCGGCGGAAATCAGTGCGGTGCGGAGAGTTTCGGTGTGCGATGCGGCGGGTAGCACTGAATTGCGGTGAGTTTATGTGCTATGCGGCGGAAAACAGTGCGGTGCGGGAAGTTTTGGTGTGTGATGCGGCGGGTAGCACTGAATTGCGGTGAGTTTATGTGCTATGCGGCGGAAAACAGTGCGGTGCAGAAGTTTTGGTGTGTGATGCGGCGGGTAGCACTGAAATCCGGTGAGTATATGTGCAATGCGGCGGAAAACAGTGCGGTGCGGAAGTTTGGTGTGTGATGTGGCGGGTAGCACTGAATTGCGGTGAGTTTATGTGCTTTGCGGCGAAAAACAGTGCGGTGCGGGAAGTTTTGGTGTGTGATGAGGCGGGTAGCACTGAATTGCGGTGAGTTTATGTGTTATGCGGAGGAAAACAGTGCGGTGCGGGAAGTTTTGGTGTGTGATGCGGCGGGTAGCACTGAACTGCGGTGAGTTTATGTGCTTTGCGGCGAAAAACAGTGCGGTGCAGAGAGTTTCGGTGTGCGATGCGGCGAGTAGCACTGATTTGCTGTGAGATTATGAGCTATGCGGCGGGTAGCAATGCGTTGCGGCGAGATTATTAGCGATGCGGCGGGTAGCACTGCGTTGCGGTGAGATTATGAGCGATACGGTGGGTAGCACTGCGTTGCGGTGAGTTTATGTGCTATGCGGCGGAAAGCAGTGCGGTGCGGGGAGTTTCGATGTGCGATGCGGCGAGTAGCACTGATTTGCGGTGAGATTATGAGCGATACGGTGGGTAGCAGTGCGGTGCGGTTAGTTTAGATACGATGCGGCGGGTAGCAGTAGGTACGGTGCGGTGAGCTACGGTGCGATGCGGCGGGTAGGAGTGGTTACAAGTGTCGCAACGGTTTATGAGCGCTCGGCCAAAGTGGAGGGGATGTTTGCGCAGGTGTACACTCGCGCACAAAAATGTGTATACCCGATTTTTTTACAATATTAAAGCCATACGCCAACGAACACGCCTATTTTCTTTAATTGATTGCAAATGTCAGTGTATATTGGTTGTGCTGCAGAATGAGCTCGTTTCTTATGAAGCTCAAGATATTGAACTACCGCGTCAAAATTTCGTCCCGGCCGTTCTGTTTTTGATCTCTTTCAAGCCGCCAATAAGTTCTTCTGTTTTGTTTTTAATATGATTGTTTACATCATACACCATTTTTCTGGCCATCCGGGTCAATATTTTTTTCTTTGGCATTTTTACCAACACCGCACAACAAAACAACAACAATAAAAACAAAAGATTTAATAAACAAAAATGAACAGATAACAAAAATCAACAAAATCAATATTCGACAAAAAAGTAACTGCCGAATGCCAAACAGACCCAAAATATGAATACTGCGCATTCAAGGTCAGCGCTCATAAACCGTTGCGATACTTGTACTGCATAGTAACCGTCAGGATCGATATAATTTTTTTTAAATAAGATAGGCTCGCATTTGTCTGCTATCTCACCAGCTGATAAAAGGTGTAATCCTAATCAGCTACGCGATCCCCGGAGCTGGAATGGGGATAATCAGGTCGTGGGGCGATTGTGCACGCTCATTGAAATGCATCTTATAGAAGATAGAAGATGGAGGCAGTCAGAGTGAAAGTCTACTGTTTCGCTCGCCGGTGGCACTGAGCCCGAGTCCTCGAGTAACGACCGGGGGGTGGTCTATGACTTCTGGGAGGGGAGGCCACGTATTTGCAGCCGTCAACATAAGTGAAGAGCCGTCAGCGACTTGGGCATGTCCTTATGGAATAACAACCGGCGAGCGAGACAGGAGACTTCCACTCTGGCAGCGACCATCTAACGGTCCTGATGGTGATCTAAGACCAACCAGGACATACCTATTAAGGGTTTTGACTAGGCACGTCAGTCAATATCGTTATTGACTGATTTTATTAAGACATAATCAGTCAATAAGGGTTTTGACTGAGTACCTTAGGCAATAACGTTATTGACTGGTTTTGCCAGTCATTAACGTTATTGACTGGTTAAGGGTTTTGACTGTAACATATACATATATTGTACGTTGGATTAATCTCTACCCAAAAATTTATATCTAGCCTATTGTGTGATAATATGAAAGACTTCAAAAATATTATTTTCAATCTATTTTTTTGATTTCGAAAGTGATTTCTATCCCAACCTTTAATTAAAAATATAGATGACAACCTAGATAAAAAAATAGGTATTTTCAGATAACATCTAAAGTATCGTAAAATTATAATAAGTATTGAATGCTACAATAAACTACAAAACGCTAAAGACTTTGCTAAGGAGAAAGCGAAAGGCCCGAAGGTCGTTTGTCGGGTCCGGTATTTATCTGCAAACCACGTGCTGGCTACCACCGACTCATAAACAAGCCTTCGAAAAGTAAAAGTTAAATAAGAGTAACAATTGCTCGAGCCAAAAAGTCAAATACCCAATTAGAAGTAGGCACATGTAGCATACGCATACATTGCTAGTTATCTTGAGTGATTCATTAGAATATTCTGAAGATACTCAGCAGTGTACGCCAAATTAGCCCAAATATGGATGTATAATTTAAGACCTCTATGAGAATAAATTGCAATGACGTTAGAAAGGCTTTACGAAGTAATATACTTACAAAAGCTATAAGTGGGTCAAAGTTACATCATTATATATTATGCGAAACTTTCAATGAGATAGTATATATTTACCGAGAACTATTTGCCGATAATTGTATACTGTCAGTCATGTCGCCCTATTTTAAAAGACATTTTAATGTGGACGTAGTTAGTAAATTATATACGAGTAATATTTGTTTGCTTTGTGAATTTTATGTGATTATACTTTGATGCCAAAATTATTACTTTACCTCAACCTTACTTTTTTCCTGTGAAAACAAATATATTTTTTTTAATTCCTTCAGTCCCTTAAGTAACTGAAGGCATCAGCTTTTCTTGCAATTGTAATTTGAGAAATAAAAGTTTAAAATGGTTTAGGCACTGATCTTAAATTTTAGGTAAGCGAAATTTTACCTCTCACTTTGTGCAGATTGCAGAATGTGCCTGAGTCAAAAACGTAACAAGTAACAATTTATTTCCATTTCCGGTTATAACTGGTCTTGCTTTGCGCTAGAGATAATAAGGTTAAGTAACTATGACGTCACGATTTTGTGATGCGTGACGTACGTTACACACCTACCGTCCAATCTCTCTCTATTTTTTTAGTCGAACTCGAGCATTGGTAGGAATAATAAATTATTTATTTGTCAAATTTTTTATGACGTCGCATTTACATAACTATTGTGTACATATATTATAATATCGGTGATAGTTTTATTAATATCAATACATAGGTAGTGTGAAATGAAGTATTATACCACTCCATGGCACATTCTATGATTTATTGAAATTGTAAAGCAGTAATCTACTATTATGGTATTAATATACCTAAAAGTAGTGTTAATAGGTTTTATAGTTATGTATCTCTGTATTGCTACTTGCTAAGAATGTAGTCCCTATACATGTCTGCTCTACCTGCTATGTAATTATAGTAATCGCTCAATATAATAAGCTCGATATCAGTGTTATTCTACTATGCACTATTGCTATTGCCACTATACAGCCGTAGGCGCAGAACGGTTGCCGCTAAATAATAATTTTGCTTGCTATTAGTATTATTAAACTATTCGAAATCGTATGCGCCCGTCTGCAACAAGCAGCCATAACAGTCCACTGCTGGACATAGGCCTTCTCCAACGCACAACACATGTTTTAATTTTCTTACGTGAATCTATTGAAATAGAAAAAAGGTGTATTTTGGAAACTTGCAAAATTTTCCACCGCTGGCAGGATTTGAATCTGCGTCCTTCGGCATTTGTACCTACTGCCAACGCCACTACCAAATGTGCTACAGCGGTTCTATCCTAACCTGCCAATAAAGCAAGTATATCTTGTGCACTAGCATGTAGGTATAACTAACTGGTTATACCTCTCTTAGTTGTCTAGCGCATAAGAAATCAAAACACCGATTGAAAAATACCACTTAATTGGTACTGTCGACTCTATATAGACCACCCTATTTTTGCAAATTAAAATAAATATCTGCTGTCACGATAAGCTGGTCAGGCCATGCAGGTGTTAGGTACCTGCTTCTGATCTGATACCATTTACTTACCTATTCTATTTAACACCAGTTCATAGTCATGTACTAACCCAGATGTGGGTAATGAAATTCAGCTATTGAAAACTGCATTAGAAACGCTTTTACGATAAAAGATCTATGAACTCGACAGCAGCCTGCACTGCCTTTGCCAACTCTCATAACTCTAGGATGCCGACTGGCAAGCTCCTCCAACGCAACGGAGGGAAGCCCTTAGGTATCTCTAGTAATGGATTTTTTGGTTGTTGATTTATTTAATTATAGGTGTTGGTTTCGATACTCAGAACTCAGAAACCAACAAATATTTTTAAAAAACTAGAGCTCATGTGGGTTATCAAATCACTTTTATTTTGTGCAATTACTTTTTGTATTAGTAAATAAAAATGCATCGGTGGTGTTTATTTTAAAGAACTCGTTTTTAAGTCCTTTTTTGTATAAGAAAAGAAAACTTCACTTAGTAACATAAGTATACAGGTATTGCAGAATTAAGTGTATCCAATTTAATTCAAACAGGCAAAATCAAGCATGAAAAAAACTGAAATTATTTTAATACAGAGTATAAGTAGGTTTGAGTGTTTTTTATCTTTCCCATACTTACTTATTCGTTGCTTTTAAACACACCTTAAATTGAAATGGCATTCTCCCTTACAAAACATGTTAAGTTATTTTTAGCTAGGACGTAGTAAGTAAATTTACTTTGGTCCGGAATTTTATTCACTTAAAGTCTTAAAGATAACCTGCGAAAAAAACACGGTGTACTACTTAATTTCGAATACGTAGATACAATACAAATTATTTAATCGAAACTCCGTCGCGTAATTTTCTGCAGAGACGCATTTGATATTAAAGTACGTATGTGCATACGTGTTGTACCGGCAGAGTAGAATAGCACCACCCTCTCTCTTCCCGTGGGGATCGTAAGAGGCGACAGAGGGATAAAACCGACCCAAACAGCCAGGGCCAACCGTATGGTGGCGGTTAATCCACCACAAAAGCATTCCCAAGGAGGGTTGACGTCTGGTAGGCGGCCGGTCGTAAAATTAAGCCAAATCCTTTGCAACACGATTTTGTGTTCAACAAAACGTGTTGCGCCGACCCCAAGTAACTGGGATAAGGGCAGGAAGATGATGTGCATAATTGTGCATTCAGTTTTGACAAGCACAATATTAAAACAAGCACGAATGACGTTGCTCGCATCGATGTGCTCATATAAACACGACTTATCTACCGATAATGTATGAAAAGCACACGTAACGTACGTGTATCAATGTGTATTAATGAATGTACCGTATCAGCTGGCTAAACATTCAACAATACAATAAATTATTGCCTTTGTGATCGTGTCCCAAGGCTTTATTTCGAAATTGTTTATCTAGAATGGTATCTTTTACGATCTTTTATATTAATGCATTTCTTTTACCGATATATCATATCTTATAATCAGGTAAATAGCAGTACCAAATGCAAGGTAGACTAAGTTTTTTTAAATGATATTTGAATGAGATCGAGACTTGAACCCGGGAACAATATAAGGCTTCGAGCACTGCGAGAGCAAAAAATAATCTCATAAATATATTAATATAAAAATTCTAAAGAAAAATACCTAGTCGTGGATAATTTTTAAAAAGTATTTTGCTGATAAAACACGTTACCGTGTCAATAACATGCACTTTGTTATCGAACACATATTAAAAATAAGTTGCCTACTTTCCACGCCTTCTCCTTATCATTTCCATATATTTCTATATGTACGAATATAATACCATGTAGGTACCTCTATCAAAAACTGAATTATTTTTTTTATAATATCAATAGGTACCTGCTGTATGTTTCAGACGCACTGATGATTACTTAAAAAGAAAATCATCGTTCGCCTATTTTTAATTAAATTTTCTTTAAACATGCTGCAAAGCATACACTTCTCAAAGGTAAAAGTTAACTTCAAAAGTACGTACGTACGTACGAATAACGTCAAAAGGTTTCCGCCCTGTGCGCCGTTTCCCTAATTTGTGTTGATAATCTGTGAATTATATAACATTGATAGAAAATATTAAATAATATTAGCTTCTATATAATAAGATACATAAAATATGACTTTTATGAAGTTCAAGTTCACTCCGCTGCGAATAGTTCAGGCACGGAAGTATGACAACTTACCTATGTTGAAAATCTTTGATGTCATAACATAATCATTCCAATAAATCGAAAATTGTGCGACTGGATTACATAGCTGTCTATCAAGTCTTTGAATAGCCCAAAAAACCTAAATATTTTTCACATTTATTATAAAAACACACAAACGAAATAACTGTACTTAGCCTGATTTTTGTAAAGCTGTAGTAGATATTAAGTTACAAAGATCACATAAATATTGACCTGTATCGCCTAAAAAAATAAGCAAGTTCTTTAACCAGTCCCGCTTCAAACTGAAAGTGAAGGTACTTTATTTATATATCAACTTGTACCCAGTTATATATGTCTACTTTCGCTGTTCGTCTGCGCGAGCGCTGCTGGCAGTGCTGTCATATCTGTAGTAGTATGTTGGCTTTTTTGTACAATCCATTATGAAGAGTTACACTTTCTTTCAGGCTACGACTAACCTAATGTCTATAATAATAAGTTAGAGTGCTTTGGTTATTTGGACTTTTATTTTTATCTTTTACCATCCTCTTGTATTAAAGTGTCAAATACAGAACTACCATGCTACCTTTTTGACTTGACTTGATTAGCCTTATAGCGTAGTGGATAGTACCTATGCCTGCTACGACCAGGGTCGTGGGTTCAATCTCCACCGACAAAAATGTTCGTTAGGTCAACTTTCAAATATTTGTGTTTAGTCTAGGTGTTTTCAATGTATAATATGTATGTATTTAGGTACAATAAAAAGTATGTAAGCATTAATCAGATCAGCTATCTACATAGTTTCCAAAGTAGGTACAAGCTTTGCTTGGTTTGGGGCTAGATGGCTCTGTGTGAAATGTCGTGGATACATTTGCCAATTATATTGTTTTTTTAAATCGATCATCTATCTATTTGGCACGAACGAATTAGATGCATTGCTTCCTACCTGTTTATTGCATATTTGCACGCGATCATACATTAAACGTGCACTCTTATTACAATTATGTTAGAAGCTACATAATAAAAACAGTAGCATAAACACGTGTTTTAAACATTCCTTTAACAATATAATACTTTTATTAATACTAATTTTTTACTTTTATATTGTAAAACATATTATGATATTGTAAGCTGAGTCCAGCGGTCGAAATAAATTACCTAGGTTAACACTGAAAAACAGCAGAAATGCTGAGTTGTTCTCCTTTTTGTCAACATTTGTATATTTTAAGCTCATGTTTGTACTTTGTTGTGGGCACTTGTTGATAAATAAAGATCTTTTTATTTATTTTATTTATTTATTTAATAAAACTCTACTTAAAATTAACTAGTCTGTCCACGATGTGGTCTTTAAAAGTACCTATATGTAAAGTTTGCTGTGTGATGCCAGCCTAAAATAGCAGCACCCCAATTCTACCCGTGGGTGTCGCAAAAAGCGACTAAGGGATAATTATCCAGGGAATGGGCAGCAGCGTTCCCTGTGAATTAAACATCTTGCACTGCGCTCGCCAATCCGCCTGCCAAGCGTGGTGAGTATGGCAATACCCCCCAATACGAGGGAGGCACATGTCCAGCAGTGGACTGTTGTGGCTGTGAAGGTATATGTAAAGTTGAGATTTTGAAACACATTTGCAGAAATTCCGTTTCGGAATTTGGTTATGTTAACAAACTTACTCCGCCCAAGTTGACACCTTTCCATGAAAACTCCGCTACCGAACTTGACGTACCTATATATCTACTTATTCATTGTTGATTCTAATAATCCATTAAAATAGTGTAGTAGTTTTATGTTTTTATTATTAACTGATATAATACGTTTTTATCGTTCCTAATAATTTGACATAATATAATAATGATGTAAATATCTATCTGCTAGTTTATTGCCTGTATTTAATCTCTTGTATCTTCTATCATACTTATTTGTCATTAGAATTGATGTTATTCCGCTAAATGTCAAAAACTTCTAGATGATCTAAGTAAGTACTTAGGTAGGTACGAGGTATACAAAGTTACAGGCTTCTCAAAAAATCATACAGTATTTAGGTAGTTTAAGCTACCAAAACAGTGGATGTCTGCCTCCTTTTGAATAAATTGCTTGATACGGTAACCTTGAAGTCATTGATTTACGACCAGCATAAAATGCGATAGGTAGTTACTACTTAGCTCTACTGTCGATAATTATACTTCAAAACAATTTTGAATGTATTATTTATTTATTTTATTTTACTGAAGAGTGCATCAGCGTCAATCAGCATAAGATTCCTAAATAAATCAAAACCTTTTAACAGAAACGATTCTCGTTGGGACTTAGAAATGTGGATATAACAGGTTTTTGCGTAGTAAGGTTCCTAGTCAATAAATGTTAGGTTTACTAAGTAATAATACTAAGTAGGTACCTAATAATATATTTATAAAAATTATAAAAGAGAGTACAGTAAGTAGTTTTAATTCTAGCGAAAAGTTTCTAAACTTTCTAAAATATAAATTTGTTTTAATTTTAATTTGAAACATTTCATACTTCAGCTCCATAATAAATAGAAATTTACCAAAATGTAACGGTATTCCCGATTTCCACAACTTATTTTCCCTTTTCGTTACCTGTCAATAAGTAAATTAGCAGCAAAAAGATGTTTTTTAATT